GTTAAGGCCTTTGGGTTCTTTTGTAATATCTTTTGACAAATAGGGTGTTTGTACCTTTACATTTAGATAGAACAGAAGAAAAGCAAATGGAAAGTCTATATTTTTAAGTTTTCCTCTGAGAATGTAAAAGGAGTAAATTTGAGAAATTGGGTTCTACTATATTGAAATGTATGAGAGTGAAGAAAACACAACATCCTTTTCAGTCCCTTTTGTGCCCAGTTAAACCTCCAGCCTTTTAACCGGTTTGTTTGCCCTTATTTGTCATTGAATTCCAGCTGCCAGAGCAGGAATATTGAGGATGGTGAACAAGGCTGCCGACGCTGTCAACAAAATGACAATCAAGATGAATGAATCGGATGCAGTAAGAGCTGATTTTTCGACTTGAATAATGAGACAAATTAATGAGGCTCAACAATTGCATTTTAAGGCGTCAGGAGTAGAAAATGGGATATTAATTTACTTATTGCCTTGGGTTCTCACCTGCATCAGTTGACCACCATGGTTGTACATGGTTAATTTGTTCCTTTAAAATAAGGAATATAGTTTTAGTAACACAATTTGTACTGCTTGGTTTTTTTCTTCTTTTGCCAGTGGTTTGAGGAAAAACAGCAACAATTTGAGAATTTGGATCAGCAACTTAGAAAACTTCATGCCAGCGTAGAAGCCTTAGTCTGCCATAGAAAAGGTAGGTTTTGTTTTGAGTGTTAATTTCCGTGCCCAGGAGTTAAAATATTTTATTAGAACAAACTATTTCATATTCATGTTTAATTGAATTTTACTATAGACTTGTGACTAGTACGAAGTAAGTTAGCCAGAGACGTAGGGTAGCTATTTCAGGATACCACGCTTAAGTTGCAGCCCTCTGCATCTGCTGTGAATATTATTGTGGCCCCTGGGGCTTTCAAATTTGAGTAGCTCTGCCTTAGAATATACTGTGGTTTGATACAAAGCATGCACTAACTTTCCAACTTTAAATAAAATAATAGAGATTATTTTAATTTAGCAGATATTTAGGAATTTACATTTTAATTATCCCAAATGTATATAATACCCACTAAAAAGTGAATTTTAAGGGCTGCTATATTGATAGCATAGGATTCTTTTCTCAAGAAGACTTGTTTGTTTTAGTACAAGATTTGTGTGAGTGAACAGTGTTGCCTCTGTGAAGGACGTACTTTGTTTTTAGAACAAGGTTGAAGTTTAAACAGTTGATGCAAAATGACTGTGTAGATAAGATAGGTCAGGAAGTGCTTTGCTGTATATCCTATATATCTTATAAAGTATAGTTTATACTATAAAAAGCAAGATTATGAGTTTCCACATTTAAATAAATGCATCTGCAACACTCAGATAAATGCTGTTGAAACTAACACTTGTATTGAGCCAATTATAATTAGAATAAGTTACTGCATTTTAATTGGTATTATTAAAATAAATATGGTCAGTAGCTTATTTCTTGTCTTATCAAAGTGAATGGGATAGAGAAGGGGTACCTTAAACCATTGCAGCTCTTTAGCCAAACAGAAGGGGGGTTGTGTGTATTGGGCTTAATGGTGCTACAGAGTATCAGTTTAGATTATCAATTTTGTCTCTAGAACAGAAAGATAGGCATATAACTTTTAAAGACAGTAATTTATAGAACATTATAACATTTGAGAATGAAGCAAAACTCCAGATAGATGCGAAAACATAAAATCCAGAATCTTTGTCCCTGAATAATACACTGGGAAATCCTTTAATGGTGTGTGTTCTTCCTCATGCAAAAGAACATCATGTAGGCCCTGTGCCTGCCTACCCTGCTGGTTAGGCCTGCTAAGAAGAATGAACAGTGATATCAAATGGGAAAGGACTTTATAAAACTCTAAGCAGTCATTAACAAGGAGCTACAAAGCATACTAAGTGATGGAAAATTGGTGGACTTGAGTTTGAAATTTGGCACAAGGACTAGTGTGCATTCAGTAAAAAAAAAAAATTAAACTGATCATTTTGCTGTAACTCTGTATTTTTTAAATAATTTTCTCCATAATTGTTGGTGTGGAATCTTATCTTAAATTGCTTTTTAAAATCTCAAATGATTTCGCTCATGTTTAAAAATTGAATAAAGATTTAAGATTTTGATCTTCAAGAAGAGACAGCATTAAAATATCAGCCCTTAAAATAGATGTTCCAGGATACTGTGAACACATGAAAATGGAAACTTGTTTTGGTACTATGTAGGTGGTGTGACCAGTGACTGCTAGAAAATACCAAAGGTTTGGGTTGGGTTGTGTGAGGTGTGTTGTTTTGTTTTTGTTTAAGCCTTAGATGCATGTATTTAAACACCTGAAAAGAACAACAACTTGAGTTTTAAAGTTACAAATATTTCTGCTGTGATTGACTTTATTTATGTGATGCTGTTTTTTATAATCCATTGTTACCCTCAGCTGTAAGTTTTTTGCCAAGTTTCCAAATGGACTACCTATGACATAAGTTAACTTGTACATTCGCAATTGTTTTATCATATCCTGTTTCTACAAATTCAGTGCAAGATGGTTATTAAAATGTTTTGCATAAAATTAAACCTAAAAATGTAAGTATCTTGAAGCTAATGTTAAAATACAGCAAACTTTTACTGGATTTGTATTCTACAAGTAGGTCACCTTTCATGTATTAATGTAAGTGCACCTAATTACAAAGGTGCCATCCATATGATGGCAACAGAAAACTGACTTTCCCCTCCCCCCCCCCTTTATATTTAGGGTGAGGAGGACGTGGCAGCATGTATTTTGCAGCAAGTACCCTTAAAACTCAGTGATAGTGATGATTTATTTTCTTATAAAAGAACTTAATTCCTTTCTTCCCTGTTTCCAACGTGCATCTGTGCTTCATAGTTGAACATTTTTAATTTTCATTTTACCACTTTGAGCATAAGTGGTTTTTTTTATTTACTCTCTAGTGTGCTCCATTCACCGAGCCTTTGTTCTTGCAGTGCTGCATAGGTCAGCCTGGCTCAACTTCCTTTCCCCCATGTGTGCCAAGGAATTGGGGTCCATAGCCATGCTCAGCAACACATTTGCCCGGTTCCCAAGGTCTTAGGCAATGCACTGTTCTTCAGGCAACTTATCTTAAAGACTAGACTTTTGGCTCCATCTGCTTCCTGGCTATAATCTGGACACACTCTCTGACCTCTCAATGCTCTGTTACCTGGCTCCATAGAAGTGTGCACTGTAAGCCAGATAACCACTTTTTTATCTTTTATTACAAAAGGCAGTTAAGCTGCAGCCAGGTCAGGGAGATAGAAAGCAAAATGTAGATCAACTGGCCTGAGGAGATACTGACTTCTCTGGTGAATCAAATAGTCCATGGGACCATGAGTGAGAATGAAAGAGAATGCTTTTCAGAGCCATTGTTTTGGGTACTCTGCACACTCAAAGACAACAATCCATGGTTTTTAAACTTGCTTCTCTACAAGATTCTTCTCAAAACCATAAAGGCTAGAAACTTATTTTTTCAATTGAAGCTGTCATTTTGGAATACAGGCAGTCCCCGGGTTACGTACAAGATAGGGACTGTAGGTTTGTTCTTAAGTTGAATTCGTATGTAAGTCGGAACTGGCGTCCAGATTCAGCCGCTGCTGAAACTGACCAGCGGCTGACTACAGGAAGCCCGGGGCAGAGCAGGTCTGCCTCGGACTTCCTGTAGTCAGCCGCTGGTCAGTTTCAACAGCGGCTGAATCTGGACACCTGGGACAGAGCAGCTGGGGCGCTGCTGGGTAGGTCCCTGCAGCGCCACATGTCGGCGCTGCGGGGACCAACCCGGCAGCACCCCAGCTGCTCTGCCCCAGGTGTTCCCAAGTCAGCCGCTGCTGAAACTGACCAGCGGCTGACTACAGGAAGCCCGGGGCAGAGCAGGTCTGCCTCGGACTTCCTGTAGTCAGCCGCTGGTCAGTTTCAACAGCGGCTGAATCTGGACACCTGGGACAGAGCAGCTGGGGCGCTGCTGGGTAGGTCCCTGCAGCGCCACATGTCGGCGCTGCGGGGACCAACCCGGCAGCACCCCAGCTGCTCTGCCCCAGGTGTTCCCAAGTCAGCCGCTGCTGAAACTGACCAGCGGCTGACTACAGGAAGCCCGGGGCAGAGCAGGTCTGCCTCGGACTTCCTGTAGTCAGCCGCTGGTCAGTTTCAACAGCGGCTGAATCTGGACGCCAGTTCCGACTTACATACGAATTCAACTTAAGAACAAACCTACAGTCCCTATCTTGTACGTAACCCGGGGACTGCCTGTATTCTGCAGCAGAGGGTCAAATGAACAGAGTACATCAGGACACTGATTTATAATCAGATGGGTTTTTTTATACATAATTCAGAAGTGAATTTTATGAAACAGGATTACAGAATAGATGTAAGTGTTTGCACTCAAAGGCCAGGCCGCTGGTTGAATGTTTGAGCCTAATGTTTTTCTGTTACCTTGAATTTTGTTCTAAATTTGGAATTCTAAGATCCATAATTCTCTCTCAAACAATTTGAAAGTTTAACTTCATGCTGATATGATTGCTTAAGAAAAATATTTGAATTTATACAGTTCAGGCCAAAGAAAAGGAATGAAAACCTTTAGTTGCCTCATATTCTTTAACCCCAGTACTTAACGTTTTCTTCTACTTCAAATGAGTATGGCATGACTATATAATTCTATGTGAGATTTTCTTCAGAGAAAGGGCAATACTTAGCCTCTTCTATGTAGGTATTTCTCAGTGTCTTGTTTATGTTCTTGCTATATATGTTTGTTTTCTCACAAGGTTTGGAAAGGGTAAGTTAAATAGTAGATATATTTTTAGATTGTATTTGGATGGAAAATGGAGTTATTTTTAAACCCATGCTTGTCTCAGGAACCAATCTTGGCTAATTTATAGCCTCATTATAAACCGTAGGAAGAAACCAGAATGCTACTGCTTGACTTAACTACATCGGTGGGAATTTTGCACCTAAAAATTCTGCACACAATATTTTAAAATTCTGCATGTTTTATTTGTCAAAATAACACAATATAAATAAAACATGCCAGTTTCAATTATTTTGATAATACATTTCAAAAATAACTGTTAAGCATTTCTGTAACGATACAGACAAAGATTCAGGAAATGCTTTTTAATAAACATTCTTTTCTAGGTATGTTAATAAGGAACTTAGAATAATTCATTTAAACTACAATACAGAAACTTATTCCCTGTACCCCTCAGAGGTAGTGCAAAGGCTTGAAGGAATCAGGGATAATGGAGCTGAAGAGGAGGAAAGCCACCTGGAGAGTTGTTGTGTGTCCGTGAAAGTAGTATAGAACATGGGCTTTGGGGGATTGTTAGGGATCCTCCCCCATGCAGACCCTGGGGCTAACCTCTACACTCGCTCATTTGGTTAGGCACATCTGCCCTCATTCCCCTGTGGCCATGCAATTCTGTACCTTGGCCCCATGTGTCCATGTGTGGCCCTGCAGCAGACCTCCCCTTCAGCCCCCCAGCTCAGTGCTGTCACCCCACTAGCTTCTGAGCCCATGCCCCAGTCTATCCCACCCTCCATATGCACATGCGCGTGCACACACTATTCTGAACCACTGTCTATGACTCCCAAGCAGCCCCATGTGCCCTGCTCCATCCATCTCATGCCTGTTCATCTGGCCTTGCTGTGTCTGGCTAGCTATCCTCTCCTTTTCTGGCTCCACAGCAGCTCTTGATGATGAAAGGTATACCTGCAGCAACTCGCCAGAAAATCTGCATTCTGGAGCAGAAAAATATTCAGGGGGGTATGCATTATGCACAGTGGGGCAGAATTCACTGAGGAATAACTACTGAAAAAATTTTCACATTTGAATTTTACTTTTGCGTTTCAGAGCTTTCAGCCAACACAGCTGCCTTTGCTAAAAGTGCTGCCATGTTAGGTAATTCTGAGGATCACACTGCTTTGTCTAGAGCTCTGTCTCAACTTGCAGAGGTTGAGGAGAAAATAGACCAACTACATCAAGAACAAGCTTTTGCTGACTTTTATGTGTTCTCAGAACTGCTTGGTGATTACATTCGTCTCATTGCTGCAGTAAAAGTAAGCACTATTTATCTTGCTGCAAAACAGGGTTTTTATGTTGAAGGTCACAAAGACTGTATGGACAATAGAAGGGAAATTGAATGCAGAACTAGGAATGTAAGCAACTAATCAACTATCCGATAAGCAAAAGCTTATTGGATAGTCGACTAGTTGCTTTCCCCCCCTTTGCTTCCTCAGTCAGAAAGAGGCAGAAGGGAGAGATGCTGGTGGGGAGCTGGCTTAAAACAGTTCCCTCCAACTGCAGTGCCATGGGAGGGGTTAGGGGCTCAACGGCACCGTTCCACCTTTGAAATGTACTGGGGTCACTGCTGGGGCTCTTGTACATTTCAAAGTGGCAGTGCCACATGGAGTCTGGGGCCAGTGGGGGACTCAGAGTCCTCCGCTGGCCCTGGGCTCCATGCGGTGTTTCAATCTTTGAAATGCACAAGAGCCCTCACTGCGGCGCTTGTACATTTCACCGGCAAAACGCTGTGTGGCACTTCCACCTTTGACATGTAGCAACACTGAGCTTGCTTCATTTCAAAGCGGAGCCGCCCTTATTGACTAATCAAATAGTCGATGGAAATTCCATCTGCTATTCAATTAGTTGGTTAATCTAATTTTTACATCCCTATGCAGAACTGTTGCAAGGATAGCAATTTTCAACTCTAGTTTGAAGTCATAGCTAGGGAGAGTTCCCTTCTTCCAGTATTGAGGCATCCTACTATACAAGCTGTTGCATAAAGTGGGTTAGTCATATTTGAGTTCTCCAACATCTCAAACATCATATACACTTAAATATAGAATTTATATATGTGAATGATCTTTGAAGTCAAATGGCTGCAAGTCCCAGGAAGCATGTTAATCATATGAGGACACTACTGTTCAACCTGGTGTGCTGCTTATATTCAGGTATATAAAATCTTCACTTGTAGTGGAACCACAAGAGTTATAGGACCGTGCTTTTGTTTCAAAGGTTGCATGGATGTGGATGTGTGCTCGCACCCAGAGGCCTTAATGTGAGATGCCAGAGACAAAAATAGCTACTATAGCTCTATTAGGATTTAAAAAGCATTGTAGTAGAGTTCAGTGAGAGTCTAAACTGTGCTATGTGGTACCAGTAGCTTTTCATTACTTATTGGGAATGTAAGCGAATTTTTCAACAGTAATGTATCTGGATTTATCTTGGAATATTTTATCAAATTGTGTTTTGGATTAGAAATTACTTTAAGCATATGAACACTGAAAAATTGCTACTTTGATCTCTGTTTCTACCAAAACACATTATTGGACAGCCGACTGACTATAAAATTAAATCAGTGGTCTAAATGCAGATTCTAACAAATTAGAGTTAACATACTAACCCTCCATAATTGGCAGACTTCTCAACAGTCTTGGGAGAGAGAGGAAAGGATTGAATGGGTATGGAGACTAAACTGTATGTTCCCAGGAGATGGCCCTTTTGCCTGTACTCCTTAGTCTGTGGATATATGGAGAACTTCATTTTGCAGTAGTAAGGTACTTTTCATAATAACTGTATGAGAAAAATTAAGACAGTTGGATTGAGACACATTTTCAAGATATCTAATGCAGAGTAGGTCTTTATATTTAGTCATTATTTCCTGTTCTTTAATTTAAAGCACAGTTTTATAGTTAACCTGACACTTTTAAAAATATTTAATTTTCTGTTGCATTATTACACTTATAGGGTGTATTAGATCATCGAATGAAATGCTGGCAAAAATGGCAAGATGCTCAGGTCACTTTACAGAAAAAACGGGAGGCTGAAGCAAAGCTCCAACTTGCCAACAAACCTGATAAATTGCAGCAAGCTAAAGATGAGATAAAGGAGGTAATGATTAAGTTGAATGCCTTACTACCTATTTTCATTCTGAAGGCCAAAATTTTTCATTGATTCATTCATCAGCATAATGCACTACTTTTTATATGGATTTTTATTTATAAATCACTTACACATTTGCTATTTTCCATATTTACTGAAATTGTTAAGAGGAATGATATTAATTGAATATAAAATGTGCAAAATTGTTACACCAGTATAAAATCTGTAAGGCTCTTTTGTTCTCTTACAGAATGTATGGGTGAGGAGACTAAAAACATGGAAAAGTTTTAAAACCTTCTTTACTGATTGCATAGAAATAAACTGACTCAATCAAATGACTATCTTTTCTATCTTGTAAAATATAGCTCTAAAATCAAGTTTAAACGATTATTTCCATGTTTCCCTTAGTGGTGTAACATTTCCATCCATATATATATATGTATATACACACAAATAACATATGTATGTATATATGGTATAATTTCAGTAAAAGTACTTAAGTATAACATGTTGAAGTTTGTCATAATTTATACACTTTTTCTGTCATGCTTCACCAAGGAAATTGAAGAGGTAGGACAATTTTTTGTTGAATTTGAATAAACAAACATACTCTAAAAGAGTGTGTAACGACTTTGTCATTAAGTCATGGGAAAACACCACTGCATAATAGAGCTTAAAATCTTCACAGTTGTTTTGTTTGGCTGCTTCATTAGTCACCAGTCACAAATTGTTTTTTTTTCTGCACTTTAATAGTGTTTTGCCTATTAGATGTGAGGAAATTTACAAATAGAACTTGGCCTTCTCCATCCATTGGCGCTCTGTTGACTTTTAGGAAAATCCATGATTGTCCACAGCTGTGTTCTCAATGGCTACTGAACTGTTCGGTGATGTCACTGCCATGTACAAACGCAGAGCAGTGAATTGTAATTAACAAAAAGAGGAAGCTCATCCTGTCCATTACACCAAACGTATTTTTAAAATATTCTACTGATGTTACACCAAAGGCAATGAAGGACAAGGCTAGGCCTACTTGGCCACGGACTAGGATTCCTCTTTTTCTCACTAGGAAGTATTTCTTCACAGGAGAAGGTTTTGTTGCAGAAACCCTAATTCCAAATATTAATTTAATTTTAATCAGATTGTTGAGCCATATTCAGATAGCTAAAAGCCACTCCAGAGTGTGCATTAATAGTCCTTGGAAACTTCTCAGGCATGATGCGGAAACCCATGAGGGGCAAGATCCTCAGTCCTATATTAGCCCCTTTATGTCAGCTAAAAGGGTTGGAGAGGCATACAAGGATCCTAAAAGCTCAGTTTCCAACCAAGAAAGTATTTCCCGTGGAACTATGGAGGGTGGTTGTAAGATTGACTCCCTTTCCCCACCCTTCCCCCCCATCCTTAGCATAGAGGGCATATTGAGTGGTGGAAGATCTGCACTGGAACTGGAATATAGTACTTCGAAGACACCAGGCAGTGCTATAGCCTGTAGGTTAGTTCAGAGAGGCTGCCACAACTTGATGGGTCTTCAGGCATGCCCAAGAGCTTGTCTGTCTGAAAAGACTGTGGCAAGCTGGGGTTAAATGTTCAGCTCACTAACATGTGAACCATACTACCGCATACTAAACATTTTCTAGTGTTCATTGACCTCACACAGCCAGTTACTGTGTAGCATACTAGTGCACTATAATTTACATTGCAGCATGGTGTGCATTGACTTTTCATGTAGATAAACCCTAAGATAATGCTGGGGGATCTTTCCATAGCAGCCCGAGAGAGATAGCACAAAGTCTAACACCTCATTCTAAGCTTTGAATTCTGTACTGCACCCAGTTAGAGGCACAGCAGAGAATCCCCGTTAAGGGTGTGCATCAGAAGCCTACTGAAGTGCATCCTGTTTTGGCTTATTGCTTATTCCATTTCAAAATTAGCATGTAAAGATAAGGGAAGATTGAATAAATGTACTTAATGGTTCACTTTATTTTGCTGTATATCTCCAGCTACAAAATTGTCCAGGCATTGTTCCTTGATGCAGAATATATTGCAGTGCATCCTTTAGTATGGCCTTATTACTGAATATTGCCTTTTTGTAAAATAATTTGTGGAAATAATATTTTCCTTTTGGAAGTCTAACCGATCTTCCTAAATTTTGGTATGTTTGATCAACATTGGTTGGTTTATAGGAAGATTATTGTGCCATGCAGCTGATCTCCCATGTTCAGTTATATCTTAAAACTAAATGTGTCAATCTCAATCTCTGAATGCTTCTTAAAACCTGAAGCCTCTTTTATGAAAGTGTAATAGTCTGCAAGCATAGAGAATTAAAAGCCTTTTTTTCTATCTTCTCAATATACAGTCAACAGCAACTGTGCACATTTTGGCTCAGTTTATGCAGGCAAGAGCAGATTCTGAAAACTGGCTACAGCAGTGAATAGGATATCATACCAATGCTGCAAGTTGGGCAACTGGAGCTTCCTCCATTAGGGATGTGAATGACTAGTCACTCCTCCTCCCCCCCCCCCCCTTTGCTGCCTCCATCAGGAGGGAGGAGGTGCTTCAAAGCAGCAGTGCCATGTGGAGCCCGGGGCCAGGCACCAGGCTTCATGCAGTGCTGCTGCTTTGAAACACTGTGTGCAGCCCAGGCCAGTCCCCAGCTGGCCCCAGACGGCATTTCAAAGTGGCAGTACTATGTGGAGCCCAGGGTCAGCTGCAGACTGCTTGAGTCCCCCACTAGCCCCATGCTCCCTGCAGCGCTTTCACTCTGGGGCTGTTGCTACGCTTCAAAGACAGAGGCATCCTTATCGAATAGTCAATTGCATTGACTATTCGATTAACTAGTTAATCCACATTTTACATCCCTATCCTCCATAACCTAGAAATAACTAGTAATCCTGTATCATGCTGTATGTGGCAGTGAAATCTTAATGGCATGCTGTGAAGTATGACAACTTAAGGTCTTTAAAAACTTTATATAGGTAATTTAGTTGGAATACTTCTTTTACAAGCAGTAGCATCAAAGGTTTCACTAAAACATTTTAATTTTATATAGGAAGAGTTTATAGTGAATAATTGGCTCTGCTAATTGTGTTAGCAAGTCTGTACAATTGGTTCTATAGAAGCTATTGCTTTTTTTGGGGGTGGGGGGGAGGGAGAAACTCATCCCTTAGTGTAAAAAATACACTGAGTGACATGACGGGGGGTGGGAGGGGGAGGGAGAAACGCATCCCTTAGTGTAAAAAATACACTGAGTGACATGACCACTTCCTTGAGTTTCCCTAAAATGTTTGTCAAATTTACCTTGAGTATCCTTACTTTTTTAACTCCAAGCAAATAGTATTTTGTTGAAATAAAATGCTTTCTCTTTAATTTAATAGTACTGATAGAGATGATAGCTAGAAATGTCTACTTATTGTAGGTAGGTGAATGAATAACATAAAGTCTTATCTATGCACATTTTTCCTTTGGTAGTGGGAGACAAAAGTTCAACAAGGAGAAAGAGACTTTGAACAGATCTCCAAAACCATACGCAAAGAAGTGAGCAGATTTGAGGCATGTATAACTGTTTTACAAATTGTGACAAGCTCATTTGCTCTAATTCTAGTGAATAGCTTTTTAGAATGCCATAGTGCTTTTATATCATTAATCTATTTCATTTATTAACAGAAAGAACGAGTGAAAGACTTTAAAACTGTTATCATCAAATACTTAGAATCATTAGTGCAAACACAACAGCAGGTAAGCTAAATTTTACTAAACTTTGTGGAACTTATTCTGTGGGTTTTGTTACTAATCTAACATGAAGCTCTGACTGAGAATGTTTCAGTTATATATGGTGTTAGTAAAATTAAAAACTGACCTCATTCAAAGTTGGATTGGGAGGGTGGAGGGGTGACAGAACGTCACTTCAATGAATATTATTGCTGTCTTTCATCCATGTTACTGCTATTAACTTACACTGGGGTTAGTGAAGTGTTTAAAAAGTATGATAACTTCTCCTAGTCTTTTTTCTATCACTGATTAACTTAATTTATTCAGAAGTTTCAAGGGGTAGACAAGTTAGTCTGTAGAAGATAAACTTTTAAAAAACAACAAATGGTCAGCCACATCAGTGTTATGTGAAAACTATAAGGTAATGTAGGCACTTTCACTCAAGGCACTCTTACACTTCATTATCTGAAAAGTAAAATCAAAACCTGGAATTTTGTTAGTAGCAAACCAAAGTGCTTTATAAATTTATTATGGCAGTGTTATCTATTTTAGTTCTAGAAATTGAATGTTTGGATTTTAGTGTATTCACGTGACTGAGACAAATGCTAAATGTCAAACAGCACTAAAATTACATTAGGATTAGATTCACTTCCCATATGAGTAACGTATAAATGATATTTCAGATGAAAAATATTACATGTAATGAGAGAGGGTCATAATACTCCATTTTATATTAATCCATATTATTTCAAAGTATCTCTCATCATATTTACTAGAAGTTGAGAGGAAAATAAGCCTAGAGGAGAGCTAAATTTCCATTTTATATCAATCCATATTATTTCAAAGTATCTCTCTTATCATATTTACTAGAAGTTGAGGGGAAAATAAGCCTAGAGGAGAGCTAAATTTGTGAATTTTTAGTGTAAAGAAAAATTACTGAAGTGTCAATTTTTAGAGATTGCTTCATAGTAAAAAATGGATTTAGGTAAACATTACTAGTAGGTGCTTTCCTGTAACTTCTATGTTGGCAGAAAATGTGCTTTTGAAAAGTACAGTTACTTGTAGCTGAACATTTTTTTTTCTTTTTCCCCAAGCTTATAAAATATTGGGAGGCATTCCTACCTGAAGCCAAAGCCATTGCCTAGAAAGAAGAATATTCCAAATCAGAAGACACTTTGGATGTTTGTCTCAGTTAAGCTAAATTCCACAGTGAAATCACTTCAGAATCATTCAAATAAACCACTATATATTTTATGAATTAACATGTGTCTTTTTTATAAAATACAGCATTTTATTAACAAGCTGCATGTCCTGACGCTCTTTGAAGTGGACTGTGGCATGATATTCTGTAATATTTTGCTGAATTGAACACTATTGTGTCTTAATACTTGCACTAAAATGTGCACTGCAAGGCCAGAAAGTTACAATATTTTTGTTCTTTACAATATGATATGTTCTGTAGTATGTTTACCTGATCTTTATTAAATAAATTTAATTGCATTGATTATTGTTCACTTACACATTCCTGTACAAAATCATGATTTTTGTGATTACAAAAATAAAGGGATGTACCTTGTGAAACATTACTATTTTCCGTAACATTAGTAATTGTCTAGATTACTTGGATGTAGCATTTCTAGTAAACAGAGGATACAATTTCTGTCAGTGATTTCTAAAATTCTAGTTTTAAATTAATTATCTAAATGAAAAGTTGGCACAAGGAGTTAAAATGGCAAATTGTGTGCAGAAACTTAACTGAAAAAGTTGTAGAAAACATTTTAGTATTCTCAGAAGACGCAGTTTCTCTTCTGTGTCCTTTAAATCCTACTCCTGGTTTTGAACTGCACTGTCCCTGATGAAGTTAATCAAGATGAAATCTGACTATCATCTTCTGAGGATAGTTGAGAGAAAAATCTCATGTTCACATTAATATTTTGATAATCAGTGGGGATGAGGCAGAGAACAGAAAGGTGCATGAGTAGTTAAATTGGAAGTGGACAGTAATAAGTTTAGTATGTTACTTAGCTTTTTAATAAGGCTATGATTTTTTTTTTAAGTAGAAAATTAGAGACTTACCTGCCTGGAGGATAGATTTTTTTTTTTTTGTTCGTTTGTGTAGTCTGCATATCTATGCTAAAGCTTTTAATATTTTGCCTATTATGTTTGTAGGGGGCTAAGTACTAACCCAGAAGGCACACAAGCTATTTTTGGTTGGTGGTTTTCATCCTGTTCAAAGAAAACATTATTTCACTAGTAATGGCCTATGGAACTGTTTGCTCTTCATTTCCAAACAGAGTAGAGGTTTTAATGCTAAACATTTGTTGAATTCTCACCAGAAAACGATTTGCATTTCACTTCTACTTACTAAACTCTTGATTAGAATCATAAGAATGCTGTTGACTCTGTATTAGGCCAATGAATTCTCTTAGTACATATGTGGTTGTAAACAAAAAGCAATGTTTTTGTAGTTTTCATTCTTGAACAAAATGGATACAAACACATACTTTTCTTCTTGGCTCATTTCCTGAATCACACACCACACAGAGAGATACTCTGACAGGTTGAACCTCTTTAGTCCAGCAACCCTCAGGACCTGGCTAGTGTTGAACCAGAAAAATTGCCAAACCACAGGAGGTCAAATAACTAGGGCTGTCAAGCAATTAAAAAAATTAATCACGCAATTAATCGCATGCACCTCCCCTTTGAAATGCCGCCACAGCGTTTCAGTGGGGCAGCACTGAATGGAGCCCGGGATCAGCTAGAGTCCCCTGCTGACCCTGGGTTCCATGCAGCGCTGCCCCTTTGAAGCGCCGCAATGGCGCATCAAAGGGGCAGCGCAACACGGAGCCCAGGACCAGCTGGGGTGCCCAGCTGATGCCAGGCTCCATCTGGCACTGCTGTCCCCGGCTGACCCCGGGTTCCGCTGCCACGGGGAGCCCAGGATCAGCTGGGTGTCCCCGGCTGACCCCGGGTTCCGCTGCCACGGGGAGCCCAGGATCAGCTGATCCTGGGCGCCACGGTTGCCCCTTTAAAATGCTGCCTCTGGCATTTCAAAGGGGCAGCTGCCGTGGAGACCAGGGTCAGTTGGGGACTCCCCAGCTAATTCTGGGGTCTGTGCAGCAGCGGAACCCAGGATCAGCTGGGAACTCCCCAGCTGACCCTGGGTTCTGGGGAAATGCTGCACAGAGCCTGGGATCAGCTAGCCCCGGGCTCCAGGGATGCCCCTTTCAAACACGCATGGAGGTTGTGCTGCTACTGCCCCTTTAAAACACCACCTCAGCATGCGTTTGAAGGGGGGAGCCCGGGAGATCAGGGACTCCCCAGCTGACCTCAGGCTCCACTGCCTCTTTGAAACATGCGGAGGCAGCATTGCTTAGGGGCAGTTGCTGCATTATTAATCCGTGGCTCAGCTGTGAGGTGACTGCTCCTTTGAAATGTCGCCTCTGCGTGTTTCAAAGGGGCAGTGGAGCCCAGGGTCGGCTGGGGAGTCCCCAGTCGATCCCGGGCTCTGCGTTGCACTGGCCCTTGGAAGCGCCGCAGCGCCACTTCAAAGGGGCAGTGCAGCGTTAACGCCTGCAAATAACATGTTAAAAAATTTAACGTGTTAGTCATGGACTGCGTTAATCACAGGCATTAACACATCAATTGACAGCCTTACAAGCAACATTACCAGCACTTTAACTGCTTACTGGATTCTTAGAAGACATTTAGGGGTAAACTTAGAGCTAAATAACATCACAGAACATGAAGAGCCAAGACTGGTGGCTGTAAAACTTTATGGGTCGGATTGGAAACTTGACTACTCCCATGATGATTGGACATCTGGCTAACTAAAATCGTTCTGGACCCCGGATGTTGCTGGACCAGGGAGTGCCAGACTACAAAGGTTCAACCTGTAGTTCAATTTTCATTAGTTGAACAAATTCTATCACTTTGCTATGCACTTATTTGAGCACAGCGGTTGGAAGTTGAGGAGGAAATAAATAGGCAAAAAAAATGAGACTGCAATTAGAAAGGAATTTTTCCTGGCCCTATTTTTGGCCTTTTTATGGCATTTTAAATCCAAATCAGACAAATACTGAACTTCAAAACCCACATCAGTTATTTGGCCTATATAATATAATTAAGGGCTAACTGTGTCTCATGTAGAACAAGTATATAAGCCAAACTTTTCTACGAGGATTTTACAGTCTGAAAATGACGACATCGTCACTGCTGCTTAATCATATTTGAAGTAATGCATCCTTTTGATGTTGCATTCCACTGCTCAATTATTCAAAGTCTCCTGCGACTTTAACGTATAGGACAAACTCCTTTCCATGTAGTTCTATAATATGTTTTCCCTAAATATTTCTCCCACATCCTCTCAGCATTGTTTAGCAGTTTGTCTGTACATGCTCTTCTTGTGTTTTCAGGCTTTCTTTCATATGCATATTGAGCTTAAAGGTTTAGTTAGAGATACGTTTGGTAACATTAAACCAGCCATACAGGCTCAGACTACAAGTCCATCTAGCCCAATATTCAGTCATCTGACAGTGGCCAGTGTCAGGTACCCCAGAGGGAATGAACAGATAATCCATCCTCTGTGTCCCAATCCCAGCATTCGATATCCATCCTGGCTAATAGCCATAATAAACGTATGGATCCATCCTCCATAAATTTATCTAGCTCTCTTTTGATCCCTGTTATTGTCTCGGACTTCACAACATCCTTTTGTGAGGAGTTCCACAGATTGACTATTTGATGTGTGAAGAACTACTTCCTTTTTAGGTTTGTCTTTACCCACTACCAAATGAAATCAATAGGCAGCAGAACTGTTGGTAATGCTGCTAGATAATATTGACCTCCCATGGTCTGGAAGGAGTAAACTCCTCTTTCTTCACACCAGTCATAATTTTATAGACCTCTATCATAGCCCTTTTTAGTTGTCTCTTTTTTTCTAAGCTGAAAAGTCCCAGTCTTATTAACCTCTCATATGGCAGCTGTTCCATACCCTTAATCATTCAAACATTCCAGGAGCCATCCATCTGCTTACATAGTGCCATCTCCTTTCATGATCAGTGCTAGAGACGGGGTTGTTGTTGTTGTTGTTGTTTTTTCCACCCTAATATAATCCAAATTTCACTTTTGGTTTACTATCCATGGGTCAGTTGTAGTTGTGTGGCTTTCCCAGTTTGTACATGTGTACTGAATCACCTCTTTTTGAATGTGGTTGTTGGTTCTAAACTCTCCTGGTCATCTTACATTAGCTGTCTTCTATTGACTAGTCCTCTGACCATGCTTTTGTTGTTACCTGTAAATGTTATTTCTTTTGCATACCTGTTCTATTACTGACACCTATGGCATTTCACTAGATATAATGCACACTACTTGGAGGATTTATTATGGATTACTGTTCAAATTGGTAATTCAGACTGCATTTTTATCTAGTTATATCTCATTCGGCTTTCATATAGTATCATATGTTTTGTGGTGGTGTCCATGTTGTAATCATTAACCTTGTAATAGACTGCACATATCTAGCATCACTGAATGAATCCCCTGTACTCTGCCCACATCTCTACCTTTCCCAGGATTAAAAGTCTTAGAGGGGTAGCTGTGTGAAGTCAATAACTTAAAGTAAATGAGTGGTCCTGTAGAATCTTAAGACTAACACATATGTAGCATCATGAGCTTTCATGGGCATAACTCACTTCTTCAGATGTGTGGCGCAGAAGAAATAGAAACCCAAAATTTAAAGCAAAAAAAGAGGGGAAAGAGAATTGTCAATGTGTCCATGCTAAATGAGGCTAATAGAGTGGGCTGTAAGTGTCTGATACTTAGCTTTTGATGTCATTTGGGTGTTGAATATAACAGCCCATCCAGTGCATGTCTTTGTTCAGTCCCTGGGTGATGGTGTCAAATTTGCATATGAAGGCCAATTCGGCAATAAACTCCGTTGCCAGCTCTGTCCACACATCTGTACAAGAGCTCCATCACAGGACCTAACCACGTAAGCCACCACATCAGAGGATCATACAACTGTACATCCTCTAATGTGATATATATGCTATTAAGTGCCAGCAATGTCCCTCTCCCATGTATATTGGCCACACTGGACAGTCTGTACAATAAAGGATTAATGGACACAATCAGATCTTTGAAATGGTAACACACAGAAACCCATAGGGGAATATCTTAACCTGCCTGGGCATTCATTAATGGATTTAAAAGTTGCCATTCTCTTACAAAGTAATTTCAGGAATCAACTGCAGAGAGAGAATGTGGAACTGGCCTTCATATGCCAATTCTACACCATTACCGAGGGAATGAACAAAGTTATGTTCAATGAAGTAGATAGGCCATTATGTTCACCTAAATGACATCAAAAGCATTGGACACTTGCTGCCCACTCTATTAGCCTCATTTAGCAAGGACACTAATGGACAGGTGGGATTCTTTCCCCCTTCCCTTCTGCCCACTTTTTTGCTTTAAATTTTGGGATTTCTGTGCCTTTTGCTCCACTCATCTGAAGTTCATGTATATATTTTTGTTAGTCTCTAAGGTGCTACAGGACCACTCACTGTTTTTAATTT